AAATCAGTACTCTTTGGATAAGAACAGAGACTATCAATTGGAGGAAAAAAGCTTGGCAACCTAGGTCTTAGATAAAGGCCTGATATGCAAGGGAATAATTTGCAATGTTTGACATATGGGGGATTAATACAAATACAGAAGACCAAGCACCATTCCTCAGTGGATAAGCGGTCAAAAGATATCGAACAAGCATTTCTAAAAAGGAATTACAAGCTATAACAAGCATATGAAACATTGCTATAAATCATTAATAAGAGAAATATGAATCAAAATAGCTCTTATTTTAGTAAAGTCTCATTAGTAAGTTAGTGAAGCTGACAAAAGATGGAAATAGTCAGTATTGGGAATTTTTGAGAAACAGCCACATTAGTACTCTGATGGAGCCATAGGCCAATCTGGAAAGTCATTTGGAATTATGCTTAACAGGGACTAGAAGGTTTTACCCAGAGATCCCAGAAGGCACCTGCCCTAAGAAGTCAAAAAGGCCCCACACCAACCAGAAGATTCACTGGGGGTAGGAGCTAGACCTGCTATTTCATGGATATGGGAATGTGCCTCTACTAGTGCATTTTTCTCTGCAGGACAGTCACTGTCATGCTTTTCTGTGGTAGCAAAGAACTAGAAACAAAGTAGGTGCCCACTGATTGGAGACAGGTTGCAAAAGTTGTGGCACATGCTTGTGCTGAAATGGTGTTGTGCTGTGAATAAAGAATATTATTCAGACAGGCATGGGAAAACTTTAGCTGAAGCAAAGAGAAGTCAGCAGAACCTGGAAAACAATGTGTGCCATAGCTTCAGCAGTGGGAGCAAATAACCAACCCAGACCCAGTGACCTGTCGTCCATTCTAATGATCAATCTGGAGGAAGTTCCCTTCCTTCTTTTTTTGGGGGGAGGGAAGAGGGCAGAGGTCAGCAACTATGGGCATAAAATAGTGAAGTGAATATGCTGTCAGACACAATTGATGGTCTTACTGAACTTTTTTTCCATTTCATTCTTTGGTTTAAAGGGATGGCCCCTGGGGTAGGGAGAAAAGGAGGATGTGATAGGAAAACAAAGGCATCAACAAGAATAAGGTTTTTTGAAATAAATAAATACAAAAAGTTAGTATTTTGTTGCTTGAAGTGTTCAAAATAATGTTAGTTTTGGATATTTGAGAAGTTTATAGGTAATGGGGGTGTGTGTGTGTGTGTGTGTGTGTGTGTGCGCGCGCGCACTTATTATACAGGGCCAGTAATTGTTTCTGGTAAAAACAGTGCAGTCACTAGCATCTCCATGATAGATTTGTCCTGAGTGAATGGTGAAATCGTTTACCATACCATCTATAGTGAATTGTATAACAAAATATAAGTTCCAGTGACCTACCTAAAACTTAACATTCTGTTTTATTAAGCTTCTGAAATGTCTGTAACATAAAACACATTAGATACAACAAGCATCAACTCCTTAGGCACAGAAAGAGCAGAGAGAATGGGCACAGAGGCAGCTAGACCCCTGGATGTAAAAGAAAAGCTTCCCAGAAGTCAGGCTGCTGCAGGGGATGGGGAGCTGGTGGAGCCCTCCTCCTGGGAGAACCTCAAGTAAAGGCTTGATGACCACCTGAGTATTGGATTCAAGAGTTTCAGTGGCAAAAAGTAACTTACCCAAATGGGTAACCAAAAGCTAAGAGAATTAACTCAGTGTGAGTGTGTGAGTGAGAAGGTATCCTAATGATTCTATTCCCTTCCATGTACTACCATAGAGACCCGTCCAGTCCAGCTAGCCTGGCCTTGTGGCTCTTTTTCATATACTTTCTGTCCACTCACACCATTACCATGGCCTGCCTTCCAGTCTGGAATTCATTCTGTTTCACCATGGCCTCTGAGCTCAAATGCCAGGACCTACATGCTATTCCTCCTGATTCTTTTCCCCTCGTCAAGTAAAATTATTTTGTATTTATTTTGAATACACTCAGATGTGTGATATTTCTCTCTCCTTAAGAATGTAATTTCCTTGAGGACAGGGATTGTTTCATTTTTTTGTCTCTGTTCCTCTGGCACCTAGCACTGGCCCTGGCCACTTAGTAGGTGATTGATTAATGTGGCTTGTTAAATGGTGGATTTCAGACATGCTTCTTGATTAGGCCCAGTTCCCTTGACTTCTTTCTAGCTAAAAGCCTTGCCTCTTACTTTTGCTTTCTTCTTATATAACACACACTTTCATCCCACCCAAAGAAATCCAGTAGCATGGGTAAATACAATTTATATTCAAAGAAAAATGGGAAACAGAACCTTGAAATAGTTCCCTTTGCCCTTACCCCCCCAAAAAAACCTTTCTAATATATTTCATTGAATATTTCTCAATTACACATAAAAAATTAACATTGATTTTTTAAATTTTGAATTCTAAATTCTTTCCCTCCCTTCCCTCTCTCCTCCTGGGGAAGGCAATTTGATAAAGATTATACATGTGAAGCCATGCAAAAATATTTCCATATTAGCCTTGTTGCAAAAACAAAAAAAAAAGACAAAAAATGCTTCAATTTACATTCAGACTCACACCATCAGTTCTTTCTCTGTAGGTAGAGAGCATTTTTCGTCATAAGTCCGAATTTTCTTGGATCATTGTATTACTGAGAATAGCTAAGTCATTCACAGCTGATCATCATACAATATTGCAGTTACTTTAAAGTGTGCTCTTGGTTCTGCTTACTTCACTTTGCATCAGTTCATATAAGTCTTCCAAGGTTTTTGTGAAGCCATCCTGCTCATTATTTCTCATAGCACAATAGTATTCCATTACGTTCATATACCACAACTTGTTCAGCCGTTCACCAGTTGATGGGAATCCTTTCGATTTCCGATTTCTTGCCACCACAAAAAGAGGTGCTATAAATATTTTTGTACACATAGGTCCATTTTGCTTTTCTATGATCTCTTTGGGATATAAACCTAGTAGTGGCATTGCTGGGTCAAAGGGTACGCACAGTTTTATAGCCCTTTGGTTATAGTTCCAAATTGTTCTACAGAATGGCTGGATCAGTTCACAACTCTACCAACAATGCATTAATATCCCAATCTTTTAAAAATCATATTGCTTCTGCCTACAGTTTTGCTTTAGCTCCTAAACTCAGAGTTGGCCAGGTCTGAGTTTCTTTGAGCTTATTCTGTGTCAAAGTCAAGAATCTAATCTCATTCAGTCCCACAGTAGTTTTCTCTGCTCCCTAGAGGCAGATGAGGTCTGGCTGACCTTTCTTTCTTGAGCTCCAGAGCAATATACTAAACTTCCTTCAGAACTGAGCCCCAAGCAGACAGCTCAAACCCAGTATGTCCAAAGCTGAGCCTCTACCACATCCCCCAGCCATCTCTTCCTTCTTATTGCCTTCTGTCTGTCAAGACAGAGTGCTTGCCCTCCAGTATTGGTCCTTTACCTCAGAATCAGAGTCACAAACATTTCCGAATTCTTTTCCTCTGTGCCACTCACAGATAATGAGGACATAGTCCTGGTCCACACTGCTTTTCCTGTCTGCCCATCTCCTAGACTCTGGTAGCGTCTCTCTGCTCCCTCTTGTGCAGCCACAGGACTGACCTCGAAGCACTGAGCCAGTCTTGTTCTTATGGTCATAGATAGTCAGTGGCTCCCTATTACTTACCAAGTCAAATCTAGACCCGTTTGCCTGGCATCGAAAATCTTCCACAGTCTGGAATCCTTGAAGTCCCCGTCCTCTACTCTGCTGTAGCCAAACTGGAGAATGCTGTGTCTCCTGCATGTGCACACCCGGCACTTTCCGGCCTCTGTCCTGTGCTAACTCAGTTCTATACCTGGTGTGCCTTCCCTTTCACCCCGTTTACCTATTTAATTCCTCCATGTTTATTAAAGGCTAACTCACATGCTACTCGTTGTATGCAGCCTTTCCTTATTTCTTCCCACTTCCAGCCTTCTCTCTCCAACCTTGATAGAGTGTTCTCCACAGTGGATAGAATGCTAGACTTAAAGCCAAGGTGATCTGAGTTCAAATCCTACTTCAGACACTTACTTGCTTTGTGGCCCAGGGCAAGTCTTGGGGACTCAGTTTCCTCATATATAAAACGAGGATGATGATAGCATCTACTTATGAAGCTGCTGTAAGGACAAACCAAGAGAGTGTTATAAAAATGTTAGTTATTATTATTGTTACTACTCTTATCCTAGCTAATATAATTAGGTCAGCTAAGTGGCACAGTGGATAGAGCACTGGGCCTGGAGTCGGGAAGACTCATCTTCCTTAGTTCATATCTGGCCTCAGACATTTACTACCTGTGTTCCCTGGGCAAGTCACTTAACCCTGTTTGCCTCAGAATGTCACCTGTAAAATGAGCTGGAGAAGGAAATGGCAAACCACTCCAGTATCATTGCCAAGGAAACCCCAGATGGGGTCATGAAGAATCAGATATGATTGAAATGCGGCTTTTTAACTGAGTCCAAGTTTTACAGAACAAATCTTTTTATTAAGGGATTTATTAAGAACAAGTGTTCTGTGAAGTTTGGATTCAGTCAGAGGGCTGCATTTGAGGACCTAGAAGGCCATATGTGGCCTTGAGGCTGCAGGTTCCCCACCTGATTAGTCTTAATACTTTTTTTTTTTTTTTTTGCTCGAGGCAATTAGGTTAAGTGTCTTGCCAAGGGTCACACAGCTAGTAAGTGTCAAGTGTCTGAGGTGAGATTTGAACTCAAGTCCTCCTGATTTCAGGGTCGGTGCTCTCTCTACTGTGCCACCTAGCTGCCCCCTTAATACTTTTTTTTTTTAAATCAGTGAATAAATTAAGACTCAGTGAGGGGACTTAGCTAGGGTCTCTCATCCTTTGGCAGGTCTCATGACCGTTCAGTGTTCTTCCCACAATTCTAAGTCTTCACCTTCCTTGTTGAAGACCAGGCTGAGAGCTGATCTGTCCTCACAGCCGGTCCTGAAAGGTGACTTTGCAGTTGTCATTGTTTGGTGGTTGTCTGCCCTGAACCTTAGTTGCTGTGTTCCTTTCACTGCCAGGTTTCAGTGTGGCACAGAAGCCTTTTGGGGCCACATATATTTGGAGCAGCATTATAAACACCCTTCAAACGGAAGTGGAAGTCAAGAAACGCAGGCACCACTTAAAACGGCACAATGACTGCTTTATTGGTTCAGATGCTGTGGACGTTGTCTTCTCTCATCTGATTCAGAATAAGTTTTTTGGAGATGTAGATATTCCTCGCGCCAAAGTTGTGAGAGTATGTCAAGCATTAATGGACTACAGAGTGTTTGAAGCCGTCCCCACCAAAGTCTTTGGAAGAGACAAACGGCCCGTGTTTGAAGACAGCAGCTGCAGCCTCTACAGGTTCACAGCCGGGCCTGACCAAGAGGACGGTCAGTCAGGGAAGGAGAACAGAGCGTGTGCGCCTTCCAGGTTGGTGGCCAGGGCCTCAGTCAGGTGGGGGGCGGTCGGACTTTATCTCTCTCTCTTTTAAAAAAAAAAAAAGGTAGTTGTCATTCTGCACCTTTTTATTACAAAATCTTGGGCCTGTGAGTGGTCTCTTAATACAAAGGACTCATTGAACTCTGTATTTAATAGTATAATATTTAAGGAAAAAAGTTTATGAAAAGTATTTTCAAATGAAATTATTTTTTATAAAATGTGTTTGGCTTTGGAAGGAGTTTAAGTTTTACTGGGTAAGTAAGGATGAGTGAAATAGGGAGTCTTAAATATTTTCAACTGCAAAACTACATGACAGTGACAAATATATTAGAAACTTTTTTCATTAGATTGCATTGTTTATCTTCTTTGCTTCAAAATCACCAGCTTGAGAACTGAGATGCCAAAAAAAGAACTTGAGAGGCGAATTAGGGCAGAGGCACATTTTCTCTGGGCTACTTAGAAAATGCAGCTTAGAAATTGGGTTAATGGGGTGTTTACTTTAAGCTCAGGGCCACTACCTGTTCTACCATTCTTGTACTAGAAGTTGACAGTTCGGTTCTCAAATGAAGAAAAACAAAAAAGACCAGTGAGCAGGATACAGTCATAGTGCAGCTTGTACAATTGTGGAAGATGGTTGTATTCAGTTTGTAAGCACTGATTTCTGAAATTAGATCTCTTGCTTTAAGATACGAGAAGACACCGTTAATTAATTCATCGGCTTTGAAATCAACAAGTTTAGAGGATCTGTGGGAAAATCTAAGTTTAAAGCCTGCTAACTCTCCTCATGTAAATATCTCCACAAATTTGTCTCCTCAAGGTAAGCTGAGATGATACATGCCGAGAAATAGAAAATGTCTTTAAATAGGATTAGAGTTATTTTTTCCTTATTAATGTCATCTGTTTGATATTTTCCTAGTCTTTTATGAGAAGTAGCTCAGAGGGAACATTGTGTTGAAGTTGTCTGTATTTTTCAGTTCTAATAGAAGTCTATTATCTCTTTAAAGCATAAATCAGTGAAGCCATTCTTGAAGAATACTGGCTGCTGTTATATTGGCTGGCAGAGAGTCAAAACTGAAGTCTATTTTGCACGTAACTTTGTTAATTATAACTTAATGACATCAGCTAATTATAACTTAAATGCATTCTCAAACGTAAAAATTTTCCTTTCCAATTCTAATAGGTGTAAGATCAACTAGAAATGCATATCACAAACCTATCCCAGTATTTAGATTCTCATTCTCTGACTTACTAGTTTACTTGTCTGTTAGTGGAATGCAGCATAATGACTTTTCCCCCCTCCAGCAGAGTTGTAGAAACCCTGAGTGGAATAATCTGCAGCCAGTAGTTCAGAGCTATTTTTTAGTTTCAATGAATCATTCTTTCTTTCAAAATCCTTATTAACATGAGTTATGTGACTTGATCTCTTATCTGACAGATTGGACAACTGGAATTCTTTACATTCTTTGTACAGTAGAAAGCAAAGTCTATTCTCCTACACGTTAAACAAACCATTAATTGTTCCCCTTCTTAGAAGAGAGCATTTTGTAAAGTTTATATATCTTTTAATGGCCACTACCTTATTGACTTAAGTCTGCCAAGGAAATACTATAGTAACCATTTGAATTAATAATCACTGGTTGTTGCTGCTTTCCCTGTGTAGTTGTTAATGAAGTATGGCGAGAAGAAACCATTGGGCGCTTGCTCCAGCTTATAGACCTCCCCCTCCTTGACTCCTTGCTTCAGCATCAAGAGATGGCACTCAAGGTTCCTCACCCTAAGGCACAGCCAGACTTGATCAACACCAGTAACTATTTGGACCGAGGGGTTCTCAAGGCCTATAGTGACTCGCAGTATGTATACATGTTGATAATTTTCAGAGTATTTTTAAGTCATCCATAGAATTCCAAGAAGTTAGAGCAGCTTACTATTCCTTTGCATAGTGACAGGTCATTGGGACATATCTGTAATTTGATTTCTTCTCATTTTGTCACCAACTTGCTTTGTGACTTCAGGTAACTAATACTCTGTTTCCCAGAGTTCTAACTTTATGATTTTTCTGTTCTACATATAGATAATTCCCTAATCAAGCAAAGAAAGTTGTTATCCTTGGCCATCCAACCTCATCTCTTACCCTAGGGGTCAGCCTGGCCTCTTCTTAGGCTCTGAGCAGCCTCAAACAACAGTGATACTCTGAAGGCAATGAACTTTGTTGGCCGAATTTTTAAATTATTTCTACAATTTTGGCTCAGTTTTACAAGGATTCTTAAAGTAAGACTTGAACTAAGATAGAGAACTTCATAAGTTCCTAACAAGTTTGACATTTTATACCAAGATTTAATTGAAAGTAAGTTCTTAGGTTTATAGCATTCAACAAACTTATTAAAGCACTTAAGATCAGCAACGCACATTGCTAGGTATACAAACATGAAGGTAGCCCTTGCCCTCAAAAAGCCTACTATGTTTTACTGGAACATCAGTCAATTTTTAACTTTTTTAGCCTAGTTGTAATCAACCCTTTGAGTACCACATGTCAATGAATTTATTAACAGTTGAATGGCAAGGGATAGTTGACCTTGGTCAACTAGGTTAATTCTAACTTTACACACCCTTTTGATTAATTGATTGTTAGTAAGTATGTATAATTGAAGTCTTAATCAGAGTAACTTTCTGTATCTTTTTTGGATATAGATTGTTAATGTATAATTTTGGAGTGATCTAGGGTGGTGTCAAATTCAAAGAAAGCCACAAATTAACATTATCTATAGTGTATTGTATTTTTATTTATTTCATTAAACATTTCCCAGTTATGTTTTAATCTGGTTCAAGCCCACTTATAAAGTTGTACCTTTTCACCTAGTTTGACAGACACCTCCAAAGATCAATCCTTTCATTTTATAGATGGTACAATTGAGGCCCTAAAGTTATGTGACTTTTCTAGGAGTCAACACATTTACACTGAAATCAGGAAATATTTATTAAGTGTTTACTGTGTTCATGGCCCTGTTCTAGGCTCTGGGGAGATAGAGACAAAAATGAAAATCGGTCAGTGCCTTTTAGGATCTTGAATTCTACAGAGATTACGAACTGAATGAATATCAGAACCCAGATTTCTTCACTCGTGGTCCTTTTTCTCCTACTGAATTTAACAAAGAAAATACTCAAATGTACAAAAATCTTATTTTACCTTTCCTGCTGGTGTTTTAAAAAAATTTTACTTTCTATTTCTGTCTGAAGTTAACATTTATTAATATTAATTTGAAATTAGCTTTAAAAAAAAAAAAAGCTTTACCTAGATTGCCTCTCCTAGCAAAAATGAGAGACCATGAATTGTACCATAAGCTCTAGAAAGAAGCAGCCTGACACCATGGAAAGAATACTGGGCTTGCATTCAGAGTCAGGAAAATCTAGTCATAGCTCTAGACTTTGTCGTTACTGTGTATAACCTTGGGTATTTTACCTCACCTCTTTGGGCCTCGGTTTCCTCATCTATAAAATGAGAAAGTCGGCTTATGACTTGTGAAGTCCTTTCCAGTTGCAGAATGTTGGGAATTTTCTTTGTGTTGCCATCTGTTAGCATAGAGATGGCAACACACATCACCGGAAGAGTACTGATTTTTTTTTTTAAATGGGTTTGGGCTTTAGGGAGTAAGCTGGCATTGTTAAATCATTGCACAATTTCCCAAATTCTTTCTCGCCTGCTCTTTTTCTCCTTTTGATTTGGGCACAATTCATTATCCACCTGCAACGTCTTTCTGAAATGGATGTACTGGTAGACCAGCTTAACCATCTCTCCATCTCTCCATCCTGGCTCGACCGTAAGCATTCTCCATCCACTTATTTTTTCTGTGTGGATGATTTAGAGCAGTGGTTGTTAAAAACCTGACTTGGGTTCCAGGGCCTGAAGAAATCAGTATGATGTCATTCACTGGACCCTTAAGAGAAACTCTCTTGAAGAGAATCCTTCCGTTTGAGTCCAGACATTTTCCTTGACGCTGGCCCACACCTTTGTTGAGCATCTGGGTCTTGTTTTGCTTTGTATCGGTATTGCCTTGCTTGGTATTAATATTGAGGGGATCATTCAGTATAGTAACTGCTTAACAAATGTTTGTGTTATTTTTTCATAGCCAAAAACCACAGTGGTATTTCAAGTCTTTTGTCCTTTTCAATGAGTTGTATGCCCAATAGGATCTCAGGTTTAGAGCTGGAAAGGACCCATCTCGCCTAATCCCCTCTTGTGGTAGACCAGGAAGTGGAGTGTCCCTGTGTCTTCTGTAGAGTGTTGAGAAGACCCCCTGTTCCTGTCTTCTTCATCAGGATATGCCTGAGTTCTTGATGTCTGGGGTATTCTTTAAGTTCTTAGCGAATTGTTAATGTAGGCATGTGGTTGTCATTTATTGGCATCTTCTTGATTTCCTATTTGGATGAATACTGGCCATGATTTTCTCCCAGCAGCTTCTCAGTGCCCCCCACAGTTGTCCCCCTGCAGTGTGGATCTGCTCTGCCTCCAGTCAGGGGGATCCTGTGGGCTTCCTTTCTCTTTCTTGAAGTTTCTGTTTCCTCAGGCTGCTCCTCCAGCTATGGTTGGCCCATTGTTGTGGATGAAGGGACGTTTGTTATGGAGATATTGACAGAGCTTCCTTATTTTTATCAGTGTTTTGCCCTCATTATGTTTGTAAATGCTTATGGTCTCCTCGGGTTTAGCCAGACCTCCAGTCGACTTTCCTGCAGACTTGCTTCATTCCGCCATGGCCTCCTTTTCTCATCTCCCACCATCGTCTTCTGTAAATTCTTCTGACAGGTTAAGTTGCTGACTTCGTGCCGTACGCTGCTGCCCCATCTGCTTAGCTCAGGCAGTTCTTGGACTTGGTCCTCATCCTCATGGTAAACCTTATTTCAACTTGCATAGAAGGGTTCAATGATAGTCTTTCTCAATATCTTTTTTAAAATTTTTTTTCCCCATTTGAGGGGAAAGGGCCATGACTAGCTAGTTTAAGCCAGATTACAACTGTTTAAACTACATGCCCTTCCCCTTTTAATTTGGTGGGTTTTAATCTTTGCTCTAGCCAGTTGAAGAAGTTTGACTGTCCATCAACAGTGAGGTCAGAAATGACTCCCACATTGCTAATCAGTTGTTTTCTGTCAAGATATAGGCAATTTCCACTCTCCCTGATGTCTAGAGCTTTCTTACTCTCTTCTTGAATAAAATATTCATAATATAAAACCAACATTTTTGATCATCTTCCCTTATATTTACCTTTTACGTTGATCTCACCGTCTAAAACTATATCAGTTTAATTTGGGAAGCCTTACAAAGTTTTTCATAGGTTCATTCTTCATAGTTCATTCATTTTCTCCTTTGTTTTTTATGACAGATGAAGTTAGTACCTAAGCTACATTTATCTTTATTGTAGATTTTTGTTGCTTGTTTCCATAAGTACTTCAAAGCAAAATGACCAAGTGTCCTATAGAATGCTTGTTGCTGTTTGAAAGGTGATAAAGCCGTCTCTTTGTGTGCCTTACCAAGAACCTGTGAACTTCCTTCCACTGAGTTCCCTCTTCTTTATTTTCTGACTTCAGTCATAGTAAGACTATCCATAGTAGTAGGATCCGCTCCTTCTGTAGGATGTTGACTTAGAGATCTCCCGCTTGAGGACCAGCGATGAGAAGGGAAGAATGGTGCAGCCTTTGGCATCCTTTGTGGGCTTTTTAGCCTCTCTGCTGCCATCCTTGCAGAAGCTGAAGATGGTTGCAGCAAGTTGAAATAAGGTTTGCCATGAGTAAGAGGACCAAGTCCAAGAACTGCCTGGGCTAAGCAGATGGGGCAGCAGCGTACGGCACGAAGTCAGCAACTAAACCCGTCAGAAAAATTTACAGAAGAGGATGGTGGGAGATGAGAAAAGGAGGCCATAGCAGAATGATCCAAGGCCCCTTTGCACTTTTCTTTGACTGTCTGGCAATGCACTGACCAAGGATTTATCGCTCAGTGGCATGCCAGACGCCCATCCTTCCAGCAAGAGCCTGAGCCCGGCCCGGCATAGCATCCCCGCCTGCATAGCATCCCCGCCACGAGGAGGTCTCAGGAGGAGAAAACTCTGGTGTGCTTGCTTACTTGGTCTTGTAGTTTTTAACACTATCTGCTTTTCTAGGGATGATGAATGGCTCTCTGCTGCAACTGACTGCTTAGAATACCTTCCAGACCAGATGGTGGTGGAGCTCAGCAGAAACTTTCCTGAGCTACCAGACAAAGGAGATGTGTGGAAAGCACTCTTGTTTGATACCATTAGTAAACACTACAGCAATAGGGAACCTTTGCTAAATCACTTATTTGAAATTCACACGGGGATTGCGGAACTCCTAGGTAAGCAAAAACTCGATAGTCCTTGTGTTTTAGTCTTTTACAGGAGAGAAAAATGGATTTTCTGACATGATAGAGAAATCAACCTATGGAACTGCCCATTAACATTCCTACATTTTAATAACAAACAACTCCTATAAATTTGGGTTACTGAATTAGGGGAGATTCAAAATAAGCTAGATATTGAACACACATTTGATATGGCAAAGCTAGCTTATTCTACAGCTATAACTACAAATCATAGTTAGTAGTGGCTGGCTAGATCTCTTCTCTGGGTACCATTCATTCTATATTTTTGAACGTACAACATAAGTTGGTATTGCGTTCTTACAGATAATGGATTTATAAAATGTGTTTGAGTAGAGAAAGAGTGTTAGACGGAAATCAAGAGACCCATGTTGGACTCTTGACTGTTACTCTGTGACATGGGATAAGTCATTTGATGTTTGTAAGCCTCAGATTCCTCATCTGTAAAAGGGGAAGAATAATATCTCAACAGGATTGTTATAGTACTTTTATATTAAAAAAAAACTCTTATAGTACTTTTGTAAAACTGCAAAAATAGTACTGTATGAATGTGAGCAATTATTTATGTGGCACATGATATTTTAAATTACTTTATTCTAAAGGTAGTAAGCCCCCCCCCAGAAAGACCCAACCCAAACATTTAAATAAAAACATAAAGATGATAAGCTCCAAATTATCTATAGGTCATTTTCAAAGGTATATATTTAATAACCAACAAAATTCCGTTTGCTTTTGTGTTTTGCAGCTGATCTTTTTCTTTTAGAATGTTGTTGCCAGTGTTTTTATGTAATTGGTACAGGGTGTTTAAAAGTTGTCGGTCACATTAGGCCGAGCTTGGGTGACGTAACACTCACCATCTGGCTTTCTGTCCTTGAGTGCTGCCGGATGGAGTAATCTCAACTAAACTCTCTCTTCAGCCAGGAAGTCCTTTTACTCTTCCCAGATTAATTCTGTGTCACTTCCCACCTTGTCTCCTCAAGCCTCCCATACCACCCTTCCCTCCACCCTGAGCTGCCGGAAAAAAAGGCCATTCACTGTGAGCCCCCTCCTCTCCCCTTTGCTGTCTTAGCCCTGATTCTCCTTTAGTGCAATCTCTCACAAGGAGGCCCTTCTCCTCACCAAAGCTAGCAACCCCTAGATCCCATTGCCTCCTGCCTCCTCCAGCCCCCAACCTTCAGTCTCTCCCTTCTTACTAGTTCCTTCCCTCAAACACACCCAGCCTCACTTGCCCTTAAAAGATCCTCCTATGATTCTGCCATTTCCCTTGAGCTCTCATCCTATAGCTGTCGTCCTTTTCACAGTGGAACTCAGAAAAAACGGCCCAGTTTTGTCTCCTCTTGCTGTTCCGCCCTCCTGTCCTTATCCCTCTCCCCAGCGGTCTCCTCACCCCCTTGACCTCTCTGTAACCTTTGGCACTGTCTGTCACTACCTTTAGGCTTTTCTGGTTCTCCCACTCCCAAGCTTCACTCTGACCTCACCAACTCCCTCCTGAACTTAAAAACATATATTGTTTTATGTAAACACAGACCCTGCAGCAGAACACAAAAAGAAGGTTCTATGTGAAACCTACATCTTAATTTCATGCAGCTTCTTAAAAGTATACGAGGAACTCTGCATGTTCCTGTCAAACTTGTCCTGCTTATTCATGTGCTCTTCTGTGCATTTTTAAAAATGGTACAATGGCCTTTTGGCATCGTTACTACTAACCCCTTCTCTCTTGGCCACTCCCTTCAATTAAAAATGTAGGAAAGGGAAAAAAAATTAAAAAAAAACAACCAAACCTGTTAACAGATAAGCCAGGTGAATCCACGCCATAGCGGCCATAGCCAAAATCTGGACCTCTGTGCTCTTAGACGTTTCTGACTGGACATCCCGGAGGCATCTCCAACCCTACATGCCCCAAACAGAACAGAACCCGTTCTCATCCCACCCTGTCCACCTTTCCCTACAGAGGTCTTTCTTTCTGCTGAGGCACCACAGTCCTCCACTTGCCCTGAGACTCATCCTCGACTCATCTCTGGCCAGGCAGTTGCCAAGTGTGGGTGCTTCTATCTCAAGATCACCTGTCCCCTCACAAAACAACCATCCTAGCCCAGGGCTCTTCCCTGCCCCAGGACATCTTAGACACAGCTGCCAAAGGGATTTTTGTAAGCACGGGCCCAGCCATCTCATTCCCTACTCTGGCCTACCTTTGTAGCCTTATTAGACATCACTCCTCTTCCTACATGCCCTGGTCCAGTCAGACTGGCGCCTGGCTAACCTTCTCTGTACAACCCTCACCTCCCATCTCTGTACCTTTGCACCAGATCGCCTTCCCATTTGGATGGCACGCCCTTCCTTCTCCCTCCTAAAACCCCTAAGTTCTTTCCAAATTCATTTCAAGTTCCACCTTCTTTGAAAAGCTTTTCCTAATTCTACCCCCTGCACCCCAAGGCTGCTAGTGCTTTTCTTTAAAAAATTATTTTAGGTTTATTTCATATGTGTTTTAATATATAAATGCCATATCTCCTGATAGAATATAAGGTCTGAATAAAGCCAGGAAATTATTTCACTTTTGTCATATGCTCAGTGCCTATCACCTGGTACATAGTAGGTGCTTAATAAATGATTGTTGATTGATTAAATGACAGTTTCAGTGATTTAAAGGTTTTCTTTTTTCTTTTTGAGAGAGAAATATCTAGCATGTTAAAATTCCCAATCACAGCAAATGCTTTTAAAAACCTGATATAAGCTAAATAAATGTAACTTTAGTAGTGGTTTTTCCCTGATACAAATCATCATTCCTCAAACTTTACCCTAATTATACATATACATGCTTTCCCTTTGCATCACTTGCTCTCAGAATATAGACATAGTTTTCTGCAACAATTATTTTCCAAAAGAATACATAACAAAATAATTATCTTTATACTGGGTATAGCTCAGGTGGACTGTCATTGTGTTATTGAAGCCAAAATTACAGGATCAGCCCCTACTTGGTCACATGACCACAGATGCTACCACCAAAATGAATTGCAAATTGCAACCATGGGGTAATTGGAAGGAGGAACTATTACAAATCTGTCATTTCTTGGAAAAATAAAACATATCCTTTACTGATAGTAAATTAATAGCCTTCTCTTCATATATTAAGTATCTTCTGGTAGGCTAGGAAAAAAAGTGTATAGATTCAGATTTTAAGTAAGTATGGTAAAATACTTCCTTTTAAATTTCATTTGGATTAACTGGGAAAAAATTGATTAATCAGGCTATTCAAAGGGGGGAGTCCATTGCCAGATCCACAGACTCACTCTACTTTTAAGTTTTTATTTTTTCATGGGAGTTGGTATGAGGAGCCACAATTCTGTTGTCCTCAGCCCACAGATACTTTCTCGTGGTGACTCACTGGACTTACCCTTTTATCTCAGAGTTTCTTTAAGCTGATTGGGAAGAGGCTGTAGAGAAAAGATGGATGTGAAACCTGTGGGTTCGCAGGTCAGCCTAGCTTTGTGCCCATGGAAGGCTCACTGGGAACTCAGGCCCAGAGCAGGAATTTACTTTAGGCTGCATCTCCCAACCAGCCTCCACACCAAAAGAGCCCAGTTCCTCAGCATGACCAGCTGAGAGCACATGGAGGACTTCCTCAGCCTATCCTCTGAGGAGGAGGAGGAGGCTGAGAACACCAGTGCTTGGGCACCAGTGAGCATTCTGTGAATGCTTGCTGAATCAAGGCAGAAAGGGTTGTGATCCCAGTTAAAGATTTTAGATTGCACGTGCCTTGGACCTTTGCCATTCCATCTTGGTGATCTTTTTTACTTTTGTTAGAAAAAAAAATTGTATACGTACACACACACACACACACACACACACACACACACACACAGCTAAGAAGTTAGATAAGTGTCAGAGTGTCAAGTATAGCATGTGGTAAAACTTAGCTTCAGTTTACTACTTCGAAGATTCAGAACTGCTTTGCTTTGATAGAGAGGCAGCATGAGGGAGGGGACCAGGCCGCTTGAGCATCAGTCGCTGTGAGGCTGTGAAACTTGTTAGTAGGACAATCGTTTCACCTGTTTGAGCCAGTTTGGTGTGGACGGTGGAAGGAGCCCTGGTTCTAGAGTCGAATGAGGGTACTGACGATAAATAATAACAGCCTCCCTTACGTGGTGATTACTCTGTGCCAGGCACTGTGCTTGGTTCTTCACAGCACCCCTGGGGGGCAGGGGCTCTTATCATCCCATTTTACAGATAGCACCTAGGTTCCAAGCAGACTCTGGTGTTCACTACTCACATGCCCTCGAACAAGCGCCTAAACTTCTCCGAGTGTCACTTTCCTCATCTGGAAAACGAGGCTGTTGGACTGGATAGTCTCAGGGGTCCCTTGTGCAGAGCTTTGTTTGATACTCCTCCGGACACTCGTGTGAGAGGGGACACCATTGATCGTGACTCCTGGAGAGAGCGGTTGTGAAAACAGACCTTTGTACTCCGTAAAGGAACTTCTTGTTGTTGTTTTTGAAGGCATGGCTCTTTGTGGGTGAACTTAGTGGTTTCATTGGCTTTCTTTTCACCTTTCTGTGGTTACTAAAACTCATCTTCTCTCTTGGCTAAAGTGAATGGGAAAACAGACAGAGCATTGGAAGCCACGCAGCTCTGCCTGAAGCTGTTGGATTCCAGCAGGAGAGAGGAGTTTAGAAGACTGTTGTACTTGATGGCCATTGCAGCACGTCCTTCTGAATTTAAGTTACAGAAAGAGGTAAGCCTTGGCCTGTCGGTGCTTTAGCGCCTGGGCCTCCACCTTCTTCCCCAAGTGCTAGAAAGGCAGCTCCTACAGTGGGCATGCATGCAGTACCCTGAGGCACTGATCCTGTTCTCTCTGTGGGCTTTGGCTTTTTGTAGAGCGAGAATCGGATGGTCGTGAAGAGGGTGTTTTCTAAAGCAATTGTAAACAACAAAAATTTATCCAAAGGCAAAACGGACCTTTTGGTGCTGTTTTTAGTGGATCATCAAAAAGATGTTTTTAAGGTAAGCGCTGAAAGTGGCTGAGCGGAGCTGAGCCGTGGGAGAGAGTTGAGCTGAGTGGCCTGAATGCTGTCCATTCTGTCTCTTAAGATCCCAGGAACGCTACACAAGATTGTCAGTGACAGACTCATGGCCATACAGAGAGGAGGAGATCCAGGTAGAGACGCAGGTAATTGTGGGTGACTCTCTGTGGGGCATCAGACGCCCAGACACTCCGCCAAAACCAGTGTGAATTTAGAAGTGACTGCTTCGGGGAGGTAGGCTTTTACCGAATTGTGGGTTCAGATGTTTAATCAGTCCACATTCATTAAGCCTCTTTTATGTGCCAGGCACTGTGCAAAGCACTGTGGGCATAAAGAGAGGCAGAAGAGAGTCCCTCCCCCAGGAGGTCACAGTCTAATGGGGGAGAGAGTGTGCGGATAAATGTGTCCAAACACAAGCTGCGTACAAGAATAAAAAGGAAATAATTAACAGAGAGAAGGACCTGGAATTTGGAGGGTTTGGGGAGGGTTTTCTGATGGAGATATTTTAGTTGGGACTTAAAGGAAGCCAGGGAGATCAGTAGTCGGAGCAGAGGAGGGGAGCATTCCAGGGATGGGGCGACAGCCAGCCAGAGGAAATAGCCAGAGCCAAGAGTTGGTCTTGTTGATGGAACAGTCAGGAGGCCAGTGTCACTGGAGTGAAGACGTTGAGCTGGTGAGTAAGGTATAAGAAGACGGGAAAGGTAGGAGGGGGCTAGGGATGAAGGGCAAGAATGACAGACTGGGGCATTTTGTGTTTGCTCGTGGAGGTAGTAGGAGCCACTGAAGTTTGACTAAGGGGATGATGTGGTCAGACTTGCTTTAGAAAGATCACTTTGGTGGCTGAATGGGGCGTAGGTTGGAGTGGAGAGATGAGGCAGGGCGGCTATTGCAATAGTCTAGGTATGAGGTGATGAGGGTCTGCACCAGGATGGGGGCAGGGCCAGAGGAGACAAGGGGATGTATTCAAGAGATGTTACAGAGGTGAAATGGACAGGCCTTGGCAACAGCTTGGATATTTCAGAGGAGTCCAGGATGACACCTAGTTTGTGAGCCTAAGGGACCTGGAGGACAGTTTTCTCTCTGCAGTAATGGCAGTGGTGCTTAGGGGGAAAGGTAATGAGTTCTGCTTCAGACCTACTGAGTTTAAGATGTCTACTGGAAATCCAATTTGAGATGTCTGAAAGGCAGTTGGAAATGCAGGATTGGAGGTCAGCAGAGAAATTGGGTCAAGATGGTAGAGTTTGAGAGTCAACAGTGTAGATGGTAATTAAATACATAAGAGCTGATGAGATCACCATAGGAAGTAGTACAGAGGGAGATGAGAAGTGGGCCCAGGACAGAAGGGTTCTGTGGAATGGCAGGTGCTGTGGGACACCTGGGACTATAGGGAGTTGTGTGGAGGATCCTCTGGATGAGGTTCCAGCCAAGGAGAGGGAAGAGAACCAAGAGAAGGAGGGTCCCAAAGGCCTACACAGAAAAGATGGTATCAGAGACCGCTGAGAGGTCAAGGAGGAGGATTGAGAAAAGCCCATTGGCTTTTAGAGATCATTGGTAACAGTTGGCCATTTAGGTGGAATGATAAGATTGGCAGCCAGATTGTTAAGGGTTAAGAAGAGAGTGAGAGAAGAGAAAGTGGGGGCACCTGTTTTAGATGGTCTTTTTAAGGAGTGTAGCCACAAAAGCCCTAAGACAAATGGAATGATAGTGGGGAGGGAAGGATCAAGTGAAGGTATTTTTTAGGATGAGGGAGACATGGGCATGTTTGTAGGGAATCAGTCAGTAGACAGGGAGAAATTGAAAATAAGTGAAAGAGTTGGGAGGACAGGAGCAGTCTGTTGGAGGAGATGGGATGGCTTGAGTAGGTAGATGGAGCCTCACCAAGGGGAACAAGGGTGAAGGAGGAGATGGTGGTAAAAAGCACTTGACTGATCGGGGATGAGGAAAAGGGGAGAAGAGGGAGCTCATGGTGGCCGACCTCAGTTTTGTCTGTTGGATATGAGGGGAGGTTCTCACCTGGAGGTGGGGAGCCAGAACCATGGGTGGTTTGAGGGCTGAAAAGGTTGGAAGGGCCTAGCCCCAAAAAGAGAAGCAGCTCAGCCAGAGTTAGTAAATCAGGGTACAAGTTTAGGATTTGACCTTGTGATGACTGAAGGCTTGATTTGTTTTTAATGAGATGGGAAAAGTTTATACATTGTTTTATGAAATATTGCCTGAATGGCATATTTCTATAGTTTAAAAAAAAAGCTGAACTTTACTGAAAATTTCTCCCTTTTGTTTAAGGCTATGTTTTCTGCCAGAGACATGACCAAAGTGAGTATTACAGCCTTGCCCAGAAAGCCACTAAGGAAGAGCTTTTGTCTTTGCTAAAAACGATTGATGAGGACTCAAAATTATCTGCCAAAGAAAAGAAGAAATTGCTGGGTCAGTTTTATGAGAGTCACCCAAACATCTTTATTGAGTATTTTGGAGATCGGGTTTCAAATATTTTTATATAATTTGTGTATGTGAGAGTGATTGTGTGTATCTGAAAATAAAATGTATAATCTATATTGTGAGTTTTGAAATATTGCTTTTTTAAAGATATGAAACTGTGATAAATAAAATATTTGCTTCTATATATATATACCTTTTGTGTGTCTGAAAATTAACATGAAGTCATAAGCCGGATGTTTTTTAAATTTATTTATTTTTAGTTTTCAACATTCACTTTTTTATTAATTTGTTTCTAGTTTTCAACATTCACTTCCATAAGATTTTGAGTTTTGAATTTTATCCCCTTGCCTACCCTCCCCCTTCCCCAAGACAGCATGTAATCTGATATAGGCTGTCCATATATATTCATATTCAACATTTTCACATTAGTCATGTTGTAAAGAATTAGAACCAAGGGGAGGAACCACTGGAAGGAAGGGACAAAACAAAACAATAAAAAAAGAGTAAACAGTGTGCTTCCATCCGCATTCAGACTGTGTAGCTCTTTCTCCAGATGTGGATGGCATTTTCCATCATGAGTCTTTTGGAGTTGGCTTAGATCATTGCATTGCTGAGAAGAGCTGAGTCTATCAAAGCTAACCATGGCACAATGTTGCTATTACTATGTACAATGTTCTGGTTCTGCTCACTTCACTCAGCATCAGTTCATGTAAGTCTTTGCAGGATTTTCTGAAATCAAGCAGAATGTTTTTGGCCATGGGGAGTAAGTGAGAGTGACCTATACAAAACAGGGAATCTAGGAGGGAAAGGAGGGGTTCTCTTTGGGATGTGCCTATGGGACATCCAGGCAAAGAAGGGTAGCCGACATAGAGCATCAGAGCTGGAAGGTGCTTCAGACATCATCCAGTATGATCCCCTTCATTGACAAATGAGAGATGACTTTGGGCAAATTATTTCCCAGAGTCGGGACTCAAAGCCAAGTTTCTTTATCCCTCCAGCCCTTTTCCTACACTAGTAAGAGTTCTACCCATTTTTAACTTGCTGCTCATGCGCTTAGGAAATTGTGGACCTGGACCTTGGACTAGAACAGGTCTTCTGACTGTTCACTTCCTGTTCAAGCTCAGTTCAATCAAGTGCAGTTCTTGTCCACACTCCGAGCTGTAAAGTTTCTCTTTCTAAGAAACCTAAACCAGAGGCAAGTGTGAAAATGAAACATGCTAACAGGACTTTTTAAAAATTCGCTTTGATTTTTTTTTTCAAAGAGGTTGTTAGAAAAATACTCATATCTCAGCATTATGAAGATGGAATGCTCAAAATTGCCAGTCTTGGCACAGTCTTAAGATTACAATTTTATTATAAATATATTAACTAAAAATCTGGTAACATTCCAGAAAAACACATCAAAAAGTGACAAATTGTTGTAAAATGTCAACTTTAAATTTTTTTAAAGCAAGGCTTTTCTTTATGAAATAAAAATTAAAAAGGAAGTGAAATTAAGAAGGGAAAACATACATCATGGCAACATCATTTTCTTCCTCTCTAGTTATGACACATCGCACACATCTCCTTTGATTTTGATTATGCCACCGGTAGAATTAGCTTCTTTTTATAGACACAGGAACAGCCTGGTGGCCTCAAGGACCTTTGTGTCACTATCATACACGTAATCCAAAATCAAAGTCCAAATTCAAACCCGGGTCTGTCCTGATTGTCATTCTTACTGCTCTATGTACCCCGTTACGTCCCTGATTTGGCATGACAATAGCGTATGACTTTACGATTTCCTGTTCTTACGGATCAGAGGCTTGGACTTTATATACAAATCCAGCAAGGTCCATTAATGCCTCTTTTTAAAAAAAAAAAAAAGTATGGAAAGAAAGTGTCAGGAACTTGTCTGTTGAAATGTAGATGTTTAAAAAGCAGAACTGATTGTATGTGGATTCCTAAGCTGTTAGGTAGTTCCCCTCTCCCCCTTGTGTTTTTAATTTAACATAATAACAACTGTCCTGTTTGCCCACTCCCTCCTGCACTCCCTTCAGCGGTCACCAAGAACCAGCTAGTCCTCAGATGTCTGGGGTCATAAGCAATATGGGGAGACCGAGGCATGGGACAAGAAGGCACCGCTAAAAGCCCTGGTGGGAGGATCGCTATAACCATTTTGTGGGTGACAGCAGACAAGTAACTAAATGGCACCTTCCCCTTGGGGAAGTTTGTTCGGCCATGGCCAAACCGCTCCAGGATCTCCGCCAAGAAAACCCCAGACGGGGTCACGGAACGCCCGGACGGCGAGCCTCCTGCTAGGACCTGCAGGAGCGTCCTGGACCACGCTGCCCTGGCTCCCGGCTGGGCCAGGTGGGACGTGGAGAGATGCTCAGGACTGAGGGGCTGAAACTGGCAGGAAAGGGGGGCGGCTAGCCGGAGCAGGGGATAGAATTCTGGCCTTGGAGTCAGGAGGACCCAAGTTCAAATGCGGCCTCAGACACTTGACATGTACTAGCTAGCTGTGTGACCTTGGGCAAGTCACTTAACCTCAACTGCCTAAAGGGGGAAAAAAAACTGGCAGGAAAAGGGGGCAGCTAGCTGGAGCAGTGTCTCTGTTTTCCAGCACCAAATTCTGCAGTGCATTAATGTCAGCTGCCGCTTGGTCTTCCTCTTCTCTACACCCCCCCTCCCCAACTCGGGAAGGGCAGTGGGAGGAGGGGGCCCACAGAGGGCAGGCTGGACCCGGACGCTGCAGCTGCTTGCTAACGCGGGCCTCTAAGTTCTGCTACCTAAGAGATAAAGAGGAGCCCGAGGGCTGGGAGGTCCTCCGACCAAGGGCTGGAGCAGCGTCTACCCCCCCAGGTGACGTCATGCACACGTAAGCGATGCTAAGCAAGGCTTGTGGTAATCGTGGTCAAAGTTCTCGTTTACTGTTAATAACTGTGATTTAAAAGAAGGGCAACAGCAGCGTTGGGGCCCGAGGGTGGCGGCGGCCTTTGTCCCGGGGCCGCCGCGAGGAGCTGGGGCCGGGAGGGGAGGGGCGGAGCAGGCGGCCCAGGCTCCGTGCGTGCGCGCCCCTCGCGCTTCCGTACAACAAGATGGCGGCGCCCTGTGCGCTGCAGGCGGCGGCGCCGTGCTCCCGCGCTCCCCGCCCCCAGTCCGGCGAGGACCGCGGGGCGGCTTCCCAGCGAGAGGCGCGCGGGGCTCGGCTGCTCTGGGCCCTCCCCCTGCCCGCTGCCGCCCCTGCTCCCGCTCCAGCGTCCGCCTGAGTCACGGCGGTGCGTGCTCCCGAGCCTCTGGGCCCCGGCGCGGCTCGCGGTAAGCTGAGGGGCCCTGGGCGTGGGGGCCGGGGTGGGGGCGGGGAAGCTGAGGCCTCCCGAAAACATCCTTGGGCGGAGGAGCCTCCCGGGCACTGCACGGGCTGCGCTGCAGGAGCGGAGCGGGGCCTAGCTGACAGTGAAGAGCACGGGTGCTGGGGATGGAGCACAAAGGGAAGTCATCCCCGCGCCCCGGGCTGGAGCGAACGTCCGTGTGCGCCTGCTGTGTACCGGGCGCTGGGCCCACTCCCCGCCACCACCCTGCGAGGCAGCTGCCATTATGGACCCCATTTTACAGATGGGGAAATCGAGGCAGGCACAGGCGGAGTGACTGCCTCGGGTCTCCTAGCTAGGAAGTGTATGAAGCTGGATTTGAACTCGGGTCTTCCTGACTTTGCACTGTGGCGTCCCCTCCAAGATCCTTCGTTCTTTTCCAGTGTTACCACTTTACCCCCACTGGGGTTCCTACTCAGATCCCACCGACTCTTTCCGTGGCACGACTGAAAATGCTCATTGAGTGTCTACAAGGCATTGCAAAGACTGTGTGGTCTGGAACCCGCGGGCCAGTTGGGAAGATACAGAGGATAACCGTCCTTTAGATGCAGGTTATAGAAGTGTCAGTGCCTGCAGCCAATCAGAGCTCGAGGAGTCCGGGTGGGCGGGGCTATGAAGGGAGGTGGAACTTGAAACTGGGGCCACAATTGATTTGCTTAGTATGAGATTAAAAGCTCATCATCAGATTGGCCGTAGTGAATGAACGAATGAATGAATGAATGAATGAATGAATGGGGGGGGAGCATTGATTGAGCATTTGCTGTGTTCCAAGTCCTGTTCAGAGGGCTGGGGATACAAACAGCAAGGGCCCTGCTGTCAGGGAGCTCACGCTGTAGTGGGAGGAGCCCGCCCCTGTAACAAACAGTTCACCTCCAGGGCTGATGGAGAGTCCAGAAGTCCTAAGGGTAGAAGAGTGGAGTGGTGAGTGGGTCGGATGGCGAGGCCCCAGGCTACTGAGTATGGAGTGAGAGGGGAGAGGAAGAAGGGGAGGAAAGGGACCTTGGGGCACAGAAATGGGGCAAGTAATAAGGTCTGCAGGGTGTCTGGAGAGTGTGGTAGGCAAATGATGCGGGAACAGAGCTGTCCAGCAGCCCAGCCCCGGGAGGAGGGAGGAGAGGTCTGTGGCTCTCCCTGTGGGATGCTGCCCACCCCAGATGGATGGGGTAGGGGTATGGTGAACTTTAGGAGAACCTGGTGAACAACTTTTCTTTAAATTAAAAAAAAAAATTTATGAGCTAATGACTCAGCAAATACAATCTGCTATACAAAATAATGAATTTTTTTTTTTTACAAAAGTCTTAGCATTTAACAAGGTAGAACCAAGTAAATTAACAAATAGACAAAAAAAAATATTTGTTTAGTGTCCTTTTCTATGCCTGTTAGTAATTCTGCTACCTCTGGCTTTCTCTTCTTTCTTTCTTTCTTCCTTTTTCTTTCTTTCTTTCTTCCTTTCTTTCTTCCTTCCTTCCTTTCTTTCTTTCTTTCTCTTTCTTTCTTTCTTTCTTTCCTAGTTGTCAATATGTGTGCAGTTCTGAGTCTACTGCTTTCAGTTTCCATTATTTCTTGGTAGGTCTTTCCAGATTTCCTTGTTTGCTTCATATTTGTCATTTTTATGGCACCATTACATTATTCCATTACATTAATATTTTGGGGGACAAAGGGGTATGGATCCAGACCTAGGATTTCCTTGGTATAAACTATCTCTGTTGATACAAATAACTTAAGGTGTTACAAAGTTACTTGGGGCACTTTATAAGATCATAAGTTTAGAACTGGAAGGGAGTTTAGTTGTCCAACCCCCTCATTTTACAGATGAAGAAACTGAGGCTTAGAAACTTGTCCAAGGAATTAGTCCAAGGTCATACAGGTTTGCCTATGATCACAGAGTTGATATGGGTCAGAGACAGGACTTGAACCCAGGTCTTCCTAACCCCAAAGTTGGCCTTCTATTTGAAACATCTTACTGTTTCTCATAATTTATTTAGTGGTTCTCAAATTGTTGGCAGTATAGGTTGTTTCAATTATATATGTGTGTGTATGTATAGGTTGTTTCAATTATATATGTATATATATGTATGTATGTATGTATATAGTTAGAGAGAATAGCTATGAATATTTTTGTACAAATAGGTCCTTTCCCCTTCTTGTCATGTTTTACAATGAAGTCCTAACATTAGGGTTGATTGCATATTGCCTTTCCAGAATGTTTATGCCAATCCACCAACAATGTATGTAAATGCCTCTTTCCCAGCAGCCCCATCAATGTGAAGTTTTATGAACGTATGAGAAATAGGAAGATCTGGGTTGAAGGCCTACCTCTGAAACATACTGGTGTAATGGACCTGGGCAAGAAACTTAATCTTTTAGTCTCTATAAGATGTAGGTCTGGATTGGAAGAGGGAGTTTCCTCATCTGAGAGTCCCCTGTACCAATGAAATGAGTAAACCTGTCCAGTCCTTTATCTATGGATACATTATTTTATTGCACATGTGTGTATGTGTGTATAAAATGTGTATATATAATATATACACTATTATATATACAACAGTGTATATTGTATACAATACATACACAATGGCACATATATATATATGCAGTAGTATGTACAGTTAGGGGTGCAGTGCCCCACACCCCCCAATCTGGAAAATCCTCATAAAATTTTTTGGCCCTGCCTTTATGCCAGAGGAGAAGTCTGAATTATTATGGTATTAAAAGATAAAATATGTTGATATTATACAATCCTATACATGTATTTTATTCATTTCTGAATTTCTAAACTTTGTCTGTGTCGTCTGCTGGCCCTTGCTTGTTGTCTGCAGCTTCTGCGAAACTCCCCCAAAATTCCCATTTAATTTTTTATACTGACCCACAATATGTTGAACCTCGATGGGGAAAGTTGAAAGGTGGATAGGATAACTATATAATGAATATATACAATATGATATACATATATATATATAACTATATAATACAATATATACATATACACACATATATAAATACATATAGATATATAAAATGCTTACTCATTATCTTATTTATATATATTATCTCCCCATTAGCATGTAAGCTCCCTGAGGGCAAAGACTATTTTTTTGCTTTTTCTTTGTATCCCCAGCCTTTAGCCCAGTGCTTGGCACATGGTAATGGTTTAGTAAGTGTTTTTTTGTTTGGTTGACTGATGGTGCTCTATCTCTATGGAGGTATGGCTGGCAAAATCACAGGTCCTTAAAGCAGATATGAGATGAGCAGAAGAAAACTAGGTCTTCTTCTGCCTCTCACTGTGCAGAGTAGTGGTGTTAAGGACTGCTAAGGTCCCCTGGTCCTATTGTCAGTGGACAGAGTGCCGGGGATTTGGAATCAGGAGGGCCTGGGTTTAAATCCCAACGCAGACACTAGCAGTGTGACCCTGGCTAAGTCACTTGATCTCTGTATGTCCAAGTTTCTACAACTGTAAAATGAGGGAGGGGTTGGCCTCAGGGGCCTCTTAGTCTGGGCTCTGGATGTCTCAAATCATATGTTTTTGCTTTCTCACATAAAACATCCTGCTAATGCAAGGGCTTCTTAGCCTGGAGAACTCGTCTTATTTCTTTGGTGGCTATTTCAACATAATTGGTTTCTTTTGTGATTCTGTATATTTTGTTTTATGCATTTGAAAACACTTACTAAGAAGGGGTCACCGTAGTGCCATCGCCTGAGGGGTCCTGGGCACAAAGAAGGTTAAGGATCCCATGGTTGGAACCTTGACTAAAACAACAACAGCAAAGTTAGGGCATTTCAGATCCTGTTTATAGTCAGGGGCACGGGCAAGGAGGAAGCATCAGAGAATTTCAGTACCTTTTCCCCCACCCAGACAGAAAGAGGAAAGATGCAGTCACCAAGCTCTCGTGTTATTGATGCAGGCCTGGAAAATTCCACTTGCATTACCAGCCTGTCCATTCCCTCGTCTGGAATTCCTCTGCAGGTCTAAGATGAATATGATATGGGCTCCTTCTCTCTGCCCTGCTGAGCACAGGCTGCTAGGTAGCGTCCCTAAAGCTTCAGGGCCTCGCTTTGATCGCCGTCCAGCTGGGGGGATGGAGTCTAATTAGTGTTTATGGAGGTGCTCTTTGTTATTCCATGGCTTAATATGGTCCAGGTGCCAATTATTTTTAGCAACGGACATCCCTGTTGAAAAAAAACATGGCGTCCTGTTTCCCACACACCTAACCCTCAGTTGTGGTTGTTAACATCCCAGGACAGCAAGGGACCTGGGGAAAAAACCCAACTAATCCATTAGAAGCTCCTGTGACAGCAGGGCTTAGGATGTGTCCCAATCCAAGCAAAAGAGTGGAGTGTTAGACTGGTTTACTTAGGCCCCAAACCCCAGCCACCCCACCCCCACACCCCATTCTGGTCCAAGGTTTCCCACTTCACTCTCCCGCCTGCTGTCCTAGAGGAGAGGCTGAGATTCCTTTTTACTGTGCTCATTTCATATGCGTTATTGTTAACAATAATCATCCACAAAAAACAAAACAATCACCTGTACAACCGTTAAGTGCCAAATTACATACAGTTTTTTTTAATTATGTATCTTAACAAAATAATGACAGTGATATCCTTTTTGCCTCCATGCCCCCTCCCAACATCTTTTCATTCTGTAGAGTTTGCCCCTTGGATTTCATTATTACTCCCTCCTCATTTTACAGATGAGGAAACTGAGGCTCAGATGAAATGATACAGGTAGGTGGCAGAGCTGGGAATAAAGCTCAGGGCCTTGGACCCTAAGCTCATGCACCTGGCTGATTCCCTTCACTGGTCTTCCCATGTTCCTCTTTTCTTTGAGCGTATAAGCATGTGAACATATAAACATATGAACATATAACATCTAATCAAGACATTTCTTGCAAAGACTTCCTAGGAATATGGTTCCTAAGCTGTCTGCTTCAGGTCAGCAAACATTTATCCAGTGCTTATTAGGTGGAAGGCATCACGCAGGCCCTGCCCTCGAGGAGCTTATAGTCTATTGGAACAAGCACACAAGTCACTAGGATAGTAGTTGGGTAAGGGCCACAAAGAACTAGAAGACTGTTTTCAGCTGGGGAGGCCCATCATCTGGTCTCATCAGCCCCCCGGAGTTTGCTGTCATCTCTCTTCCAACTTCCAGTCTCTTGTCGACTGCCTATTAGATATCTCAAACTGGGTGTCCCGCAGACATCCTAAACTCAACATGTACAAAACTGAACGTGTTATCTTTCCCCCCAAACCCTCCCCTCTTCCTAACTTCCCCATTATTGTCAAAGGTTCCACCATGCTTTTGGTCACCCCGGCTCAAAATCTAGGTGGCATGACCTCCTCTCGCCCCCACCGTAGGCCTCAGCTGTGAAGGGTCTGTCATTTCCACCTTCGTGACCTCTCCCATAGACCCCTTCTCTCCTTGGACTCTGCCAGCCCCCGGGGGCAGGCCCCCATCCCCTTCTGCCTGGCTAATGAAATAGTGCCAATGGATCTGCCTGCCTCAGCTCTCTCCCCCATCCTCCATTCAGCCACCAAAGTGATTTTCCTGAAGCACAGGTCTGATCATGTCTCCTCCCTATTCAATAAACCCCAGTGGCTCCTCATTATCTCTAATAAAGAGCTTTCAAATCCTCTGTTTAGCTTTAAACCCTTTCCTAGCCTAGCCCCTTCCTACCTTTCCTGTCTCCTTATTCCTTAGTCCCCTCCCTGTTCTCTATGATTCAGTGACACGGCCCCCTAACTCATGCATTTTCCCTGGATGTCCCTGTTACCTGGAACTCCCTCTCTCCTCGTCTCCACCTCCCGGCTTCCCTGGTTTCCTTCAGGTTGCAGCTGAAGTCCCACCTTATATAAGAAGTCGCCTTTCTCAGTCCTCTCCAATCTTGGTGCTTACCCTCTGGGACCCCCCTCCCCCAGTTTATCTTATTTGGACACAGATTTTTGTGTGCTGTCTCCCCATCAGATTGGGAGCTCCTGGAAAGAAATGACTGGCTTTTTTTTTTTTTTTTTGACCTTTCTTTTTATCCCCACTGCTTAGCACAGTGTCTGGCACATAGTAGGTGTTTAAAAAGTGCTAGTTGACTGACTGACTGGCTTCATGGAGGAGGCGTCATCTAAATTGGATGTTAAAGGAAGAGAATGACTTCATTAGGAAGGAAGGAAACTAGTATTAAGTGCCTACTATGTACCAGGCTCTGTGCTAAGCACTTTACAAATATTATCTCAGACTCTCTACCTATTAACTTGGGGTCATGGGATTCTGGAGTCCAGTGCCCTCACTTTGCAGAAGAGATAGAGATAATGAGAAGTAATAGAGATAAATGGGAAGTAATTCCAGGTATGAGTGATGGCAGGAACAAAGGCACCAACATAGGAGGAGAAGACAGGGTGAGAGAAATGGGGACGGTCCATTTGAGCTGGAATATGGTATATGAAGGGATCGTGTGAGGCAGGGCCATAGGACAGGGGCAGCCAGGTGGCCCCGGGGCTAGAGCACAGGAGTCATGAAGACCTGAATTCAAATCCAGCCATAGACATTTCCCAGATGTGCAACTCTGGGCGAGTCAACCTCTTTTTGCCTCAATTTCCTCCTCTGCAAAATGGGGATAATAATAGCACCTACCTCCCAGGGTGGTTGTAAGACTCAAGTAAATTAATAGAGGGTGTCCCAGAAGGCTTGATGCTGACTTTGGGGACCCTCTGTATTAATTCATTTGATCCTCACAACAACCCTGGGAGGTCCTTGCTATTATTATATATATGCATGCACTGCAGGCATTAATGTACATGCATACATACATACATACATACATACATACGGTAAACTTAAAACTGCACTGAGACTTTTGGGACACCTTGCATACGTAAAGCTCTTTGCGAACCTTGAAGCTCTTTCATAAGTGTTGGCGGTTATGATAAAAGTTGGAGCCAGACCGTGGAGGGCCTTGAATATCAGAGCCAGGAGTAGAGACTTCATTGGGTCGCCGCAGGAGGTGTTTGAGTAGAGGGCTGACCTGATGGGAGCCAGGCTTTAGGAAGATTTCTTTCCAGTCTCAGCTTGGAAGTTGTACAGTTGGAAGAGAGAGACTTCAGGTAGTCTGGGTAAGAAGGGACAAGGAAGGGCCTAACTTACTTAAACCGGGGTGGTTGTAATCTACTTAAACCAACACGGGCCGTAGCCTGCTGTCCTTCAGAAACCTCGACCGGGATTCGTTCTTCCACTTGATAAGGCTGTTAAATGACTTGCCCAAGGTTTCATGTGCAGTAGTTGGCGGTGTTGGAACCTGAACTCAGGTCCTGTGACTCCAAATTCAGATCTTTGTTCTGTCCTTATTGTGGTTCTCGTTCCGTGAGAGTGGGTCAATGTGTCCCAACCGCGGGGCCCTTTTAGAAGCAGTGACGTTCCAGAGTCTGGAGCATCCTCTCACGTAGCACCCGCAGGTGTTAATGGGGTAGCTCAGGCAACATCATCTTGTCCTTTCTCCTCGTTTTACCAGGGGGGAAGGGACGGGCCCAGGTCCCAGGAACAAAACAGTGACTCCTTTGTTGTGATTGTTGCGGCGATTGTTTTCCCCTTTCCTAGGAAATCGGATCAACCCATTGAGGATGTCTGAGCACCGTGAAGACAAGCCTCACCCAAGCGATTCAGAGCGAACTCTGGAGGATGGTGTAGACGGGACTGATGAATCCGTCCGGAAGAGGATCCGGCAGAGCACTCCCAGCCCACAGAGACTGCCAAGGCCGCAGTGTAAGCGTGAGCCCCCTTTGCTTGGTCGCCGAAGGCTGGGCCCAGTAGCCTGTGACCAGCACACGCACCGCGTGCATAAGTGGCGTGTGATTTAAGGGTGCACATGTGGCCAGTAATTAACATTGGAGAAAAGCCGCTTGTCCTTGTCCGGCAGGGCTTGGCTCGTTGCCTCGTCAGGGGGAGTCCTGAGGGGTTTCAGTTACATAGGGAATGAATATTTCAGAATGACCAGATCAGCCGTCCTTTCTGTGTCCCCTGGGCAGTGCAGCTTCCCTGGATGTCTTGGCAGAACTAGACAGGAACGATGATAATCACTATTACGTGCCTTTTTTTTTCTTCCAAATTGGTTTCCCATGGCCTTTTACTTTTAAAAAGTTGAAGCATAGGGTCATAGATTTAGAACTGCAAAGGATCTCAGAGGTCATCATGTTAAAGAGGAGGAAACTGAGGCCCAGAGTTATGTGACTTGCCCAAGGTCATACTGGTACCAAGCATTCAAGGGAGGATTTGAATCCAGGTCCTTTGACTCCAAAGCCAGGACTCTTCCCATTGTACCTCATCACTTCCCAATATTCTTAATCATATTCTACTGTCTTTTAGTTATTTAGTGCCTTTGGGGGAGAGGGGTTACAGCAGTCGTTTCTCCATGTACCCTTTCATTCACCTCCATTGAACTCTACCCTTTGATAAAAAAAAAATGGAACAAAATCAACCAAGCAAGCAACGACGTGACAGCATGTGTTTGCACCCATGGTCCCCTCCCGGTACTGAGAGGAGAGGATAATTGACATTTGCATAGTACTTCAAATCCTTCATTGTCTGATCCTCACAAGGGCCTTTCAATGCAACTCCTACCGGAGCATTGCTGCCATTTTATGGATGGACAGACTGAGACTCAATGAGGTTAACTGACTTGCCTATTGTTTTGTTTTTTTTTTTAATTTTAATTTTTAGTTTTCAACATTTACTTCCACAAGATTTTGAGTTCCAAATTTTCACCCCATCTCACCCCTCCCCCCACCCCAAGATGGCATGCATTCTGAATACCCCTTCCCCTAGTCTGCTTTCCCTGCTATCTCTCCCCCACTTCCCCTTCTATTTTCCCATAGGGCAGGATAGATTTCTGAACCCCATTTCCTGTATTTCTTATTTCCCAGTTGCATGTGAAAACATTTTTTTTAAACACGTGTTTTTAAAACTTTGGGTTCCAAATTTTCTCCCTTCCTCCCTCCCCACCCACCCTCATTGAAAAGGCAAGCAACTCAATATAGGCTATGCATGTGTAGTTATGCAAAACACTTCCATAGTAGACATACTGTGCAAAACTAACTCTATTTCCCTTAATCCTATCCCACCCCCCCATTTATTCTATTCTTTCTTTTGACCCTGTCCCTCCTCAGAAGTATTTGCTTCTGATTACCCCCTTTCCCAATCTGCCCTCCTCGCTATCATCCCCCTACTCTCTTGTCCCCTTCCTCTTCTATTTTCCTGTAGGGTGAGACAGATTTCCATACCCAATTGAGTGTGTATGTTATACCCTCCTTAAGTCAAATCCTATGAGAATAAGATTCACTCATTCCCTCTCACCTTTCCCTGTTTCCCCTCCACTGTAAGAGCCTTTTCTTTTCTGTTTTTTTGTGAGATAATTTACCCCGTTCTACTTTCCCCTTTCTCTTTCTCCTAGTATAATCCTCTCTCACCCCTTAATTTTATTCTCCAGATATGACCCCTTCATCTTCAACTCATCCTGTGCCCTCTATCTATCTATATGTATGTGTATGTATATATATATAATTTTTTCCCTCCAACTGCCCTAATACTGACAAAGGTCTCATGAGTTACAAATATCATCTTTCCATGCAGGAATGTAAACAATTCAACCTTAATAAGTCTCTTTTGATTTTTCTTTCCTGTTTACCTCTTCATGTTCCACTTGAGTCTTGTATTGGAAAGTCAAATTTTCTATTCAACTCTGGTCTTTTCATCAAGAATGCTTGAAAGTCCTCTATTTCACTGAATGACCATTTTTTCCCCTGAAGAATTATACTCAGTTTTGCTGGGTAGGTGATTCTTGGTTGTAATCCTATATCCTTTGCCCTCCAGAATATTATATTCCATGCCCTGCGGTCCCTTAATGTAGAAGCTGCTAAATCTTGTGTTATCCTAATTGTGTTTCCACAATACTTGAATTGTTTCTTTCTAGCTGCTTGTAATATTTTCTCCTTGACCTGGGTACTCTGGAATTTGGCTACAATATTCCTAGGAGTTTTCCTTTGGGGATCTCTTTCAGGTGGTGATTGGTGATTTCTTTCAATTTCTATTTTGCCCTCTGGTTCTAAAATATCAGGGCAGTTTTCCTTGATAATTTCTTGAAAGATGATGTCTAGGCTCTTTTTTTGATCATGGCTTTCAGATAGTCCAATAATTTTTAAATTCTCTCTCCTGGATCTATTTTCCAGGTTAGTTGTTTTTCCAATGAGATATTTCACTTTGTTTGCTAATTTTTCATTCTTTTGGATTTGTTTTACAGTGTCTTGATTTCTCATAAAGTCACTAGCTTCCAATTGCTCTATTCTAATTTTTAAGGAAGTATTTTCTTCAGTAATCTTTTGGACTTCCTTTTCCATTTGTCCAATTTTGCTTTTTAGGGCATTCTTCTCCTCATTGGCTTTGTGGACCTCGTTAGCCATTTGGGTTGGGCTATTTTTTAAGGTGTTATTTTCTTCATTATTTTTTTGGGTCTCCTTTAGCAAGCTGTTGACTTGTTTTTCATGATTTTCTTGCATCACTCTCAGTTTTTCCTTTACTTCTCTTACTTGCTTCTCAAAATCCCTTTTGAGCTCTTCCAAGGCCTGGGACTGATTCATATTTTTCTTGGAAGTTTTGGATGTAGGAGCTTTGACTTTGTTTTCTTCTTCTGGTTGTATGTTTTGATCTTCTTTGTCACCAAAGTAAGATAATATAGTCTGACTCTTTTTGCACTGCTTGCTCATGATCCCAACCAATTACTTGAGTTTTAAACTCTTTGTTAAGGTAAGAGTCTGTTTCCAATGTGGAGAATGTACTGTCCCAAGCTTTGGGGGTTTGTACAGCTGTTTTCAGAGATACTTCTAGGAACCTGAAATGTGTCAGTTCTTTCAGGGTACTATGATAAGGGGCGAGGTGTTTCCTCTCCACAGCCACAACAAATTTCACCATACCAGCGTTCCTCCTCGCCCTAGGACCGCCCCTCAGAACTGTGACCCAGATCCAAGCACTGGTAAAGCAAGAGATTCCTGCCTCAGCCCTGGCAAAGAGATCCTTGCAATCTCCCTCTGATCAGCCACTTGATTCCCCCTCAGTCTGTGGGCCTGAAGCTCAGGAGGCAGCCGCGGCCCGCACTCAGGACTTGCGGCTGAGACCTAGCTTCTTCTCTCACCGCAGTAACAGACTTTTACCACTGACTTTCTAAGTTGTCTTTGGCGTTTGTAGGTTGAGAAGTCTGGAAACTGCCACAGCTGCCTGCGATTCAGTCCCCTGAGGCCTGCTCCAGGGTTGCTGTGGCCTGCGCCCCACACCGAACTGCGCTCCTCTCCCCGCCAGGCATGATATACCTTTCCAATCAACAATCCAGGCTGTCTTGGGCTGGAAATTTGTTTTAGTCTGTTTTTTTGTGGGTTTTCCTGCTTTAGAATTTGTTTAGAGACATTTTTTATAGGTATTTGGAGGGGTTTGGGGGAGAGCTCTAGCAAATCACTGCTTTCCCTCCGCCATCTTGGCTCCCCCCCCCCCCCCCCCCCCCCCCCCCCCCCCCCCCCCCAGCCTTGCCTATTGTTATATAACAAATAGATTTCAAAGGTGGGATTTGAACTTGGGTCTCTCCCGGCACCAGGTCCAGGGCTCTTTCTTCTGCTGTATTCTCCCTCTCTGCCTACTTTTTTTTTTTTTTTTTAAACAACTGACATGATCCTTTGCATGTATCATCTCCCTTGATCCTCACAATCCTTTCAGGTCAGTACCATAAGGCTGATTCTCCCCATTTTACAGATGAGAAAACTACCACATGGTGTGTGAAATGTGCCGTTCTCATTGACCTAAAAAGGGGATTGAGAGTCTGACTTTTTCGTTTCCCTCCAGAGTTGAGCAGGTGACAGTGTGTGTTGGTTTGTGCATGTCTGTGAATTGGCCGCGTCCTAACCCCGGGGCTGAGGGCTTGGCTGCCATGAGTTTGAAAGGACTTTCTTGGATGAGTCTGCCACTTTAAGTGCCAAGGCTGCATCAGAGGGTGGTTTCCATGTGCCCCCCAGAAGCTGCCCCAACCTGTGATTTTTTTTTTTTTGCAGGCTACTAAAACAGTTGGCAAATGCGCCAAAACTGAGGTGTTTGGTTTTTTTTGGAAGGACTGTCATAGTTTAGGAATGTGAGAGTGATGCTATCTCTTTAAAATGCCCTTGATGGAGAGGTGGGATAAGTACAGACATTTCCGGCTCTTGTCATGCTCCTGTGAATTGTCCAGAACACTTCCCAGGTGATTATTTCCCTCTTCCTCCAAGCATCCCTTTAGTGAATGGAGGAGGGCCCTCCCATAATGTGGATCATCTTGGAGTGCATGAATTCACTCGTTCATTAATATTCGTGAATGAATTCATCATTCATTATCACACACTGATGCTGGTGTGCCAGGGCTCACCAGAGACCAGCTTTGGATGGTCCCATGGGCGATTCATCTGTTTGTATGTTTCACCCCCCAGGAGAACGTAAGCCCTTTGGCGGCAGGAGCTCTTTTTGTTTTGTCTTTGCGTCCTCAGGAGCTAGCATAGTGCGTGTTGGGACCAAGGATTGGCTGCTCTGGTGCTCTTCCTGTTTCTCATCTTCTCCAGGGCGTGTGGTGAGGAAAGTGTGGCATGGTGTGCCCCATCCTTTACTGTGCTGGCTGCCCCAAGTGTGGGAGTCAGTCATTTGGAGGAACTGGAGGACATTTAGCCTGGAAAAGATGATGGGGACCGCGACAGCTCTGTGTGAAGTATCTGAAGAAGTGTCGTGTGAAAGCAGGATCAGATTGGCCTGGCAGCCCCAGAGGGCAGAACTGGGAGCAAGAAGTTGCAGAGACAAGTTCCCGCTTGATGTCAGGAAAACCCCACTGAAAATGAGAACTTTTCACACATGTGGGAGGGGCTGCCTCTGGAAGAAACAGATCTCCCCACACCCCACCGTGGTGGTCTGAGCAAAGGCTCAGTGCCAACATGGCTAGTCTAAGGGAGATTCTTTTGGGGTGCAGGCACGTGCTGCATGCTGCAGAAATCCCATCCAACTCTGAGATTCGGTGACTCAGTGAAAATTGATTTGTGACCGTAATATAAAATTCTTTGATTTGTGACTCAGTCGTTCTTTGTCTCGTTACCGGCTGCCCTTTGCCCTGCCAGGGAAATCAGAATTCTTTCATCTGTTCCCATCTCTCTTTGGTGGGTAGCACCTGGCATTTGTCTCAGCCCACTCTGTGAGCTAATCCATGCCCCTTACAAAGGAGGTTGGACCCGGAAGAGACTTACTGGGGTGTCTAGTCCAATGCCCTCTTTTCACAACTGAGAAAACTGAGGCCCAGAGAGAGGAAAAGGCTTCCCCAAGGTCTCCCAGCCGATGGGAGGCCAGCTGTCCTGCCCCTGAAGCTGGTTCCCTCCCACTCACCGAAGCTCTCCTTTTGGCCTCCTCAGCTACAGTGTCCTGTGCCCTTTCTCCATTCTAAGTGAACAGAGGATTTACAGACCCCGGGCTCAGGAAGTATGAGTACTCTCTGAGTCAAGGATTACAAAGAGAAAAAACCGGATGTGATGAACGGTCTCCTGGAGCCTTCCCAGAAGGAGCCAACCTCAGGGCATGGATCACAGCAGTCATAAAGCTGAGGTTTAGGGGTTTGAGGCAGCTGGCAGCTCAGTGGAGAGAGTGCCTGGCCTGGAGTCAGGAAGACTTAAGTTCAAATTCAGCCTCAGACACCTACTACTTGTGGGACCCCGTGCAAGTCAGTGAACCTCTGTTTGCCTCAATTTGCTTAGCTGTAAAATGGGGATAACAACAGCGCTTACCTCTCAGAGTTCTTGTGAGGAGTAAATGAGATAATGTTTGTTAAAGTGCTTAGCACAAGGCTCATAGTAGGTGTTATTTAATGTAAATGCTTATTTCCCACCCCCCTCCAAAAAAAAACATCTCAAGAAGCCTCGCATTTAAAAAATAACTCATGAAAGATCAACTGTAATCTCAGAATGTGTAACATGAGGCAGTGTTGTAAGGACAGGAGTTTTGAGTGACTGATGAGGGATTTTGAAAACCAGAATCTCACCATGTTTCCAGCACTGATTCATTAGGCAGAACTCTCTCTAGAATGGAGAAAAGCAGTTTATCAGAGGCAGCGCAATATAACAAAGGAGAATAAGTCTGGATTTGGAAACGGGAGGCCTGGGTTCTAATCCTGATTCTCACACTTAACTAGCCATGTGACTTTGGTCTCTGAGCCTCAGTTTCCTCATTTGTAGACTGGAGATGATGCTACCTGCCCCCACCTACATCTCAAGTATCGCTGTGCAGAAAGCCCTTTAGAAACCTCAGAAAGCTTGCTCTGTCAATGTGAGTCACTGACTTCCATTCTAGTTTTGTGCTCACTTTTGGTCCATTATCCGTGTGACCTTGGATGAGTCCCTGGCCTCCTCTGTTCCTCACCTGCAGCGTGAGGGAGGTGGACTGAATGGACCTCGGAGGTCCTTCTCTGCCCTGAATCTGTCATTCTCAACACCTTAGTCCACCAGGATGGCCTGTCCTGTGCAGGTGAGAAGAAGTAGTTCTGTCAGGTGGCTCTCCCGTTGTATGTGACAGAACTGTATGTGAACCAATCTCTTATTCATTTGGTTAGCAAATCATTATTCCTAAGCTGATAAAATTGAGTTTGTGACGTGTCAAGGCCGAGGATCGGCCCCCGTGCTGTGATGTTCCCCCTAGGTGGAAGGCCGTGCCAGAGAGAGCCATTGGCTTTGTCCGTACTGCTGCTGTGCGTCCTCCATGGGCCGCTCAGTCATGTGGCTTGAAGCGTCCATCTTGGCACGCATGCAGCCATCGTCCAGGACCTCTCTGCAGAGGAGACTGGTCACCGCCCTTCCTCAAGGTCCTTCTGTTTGGCCCAGAATCTGATGCCTGTTGGTGCCATGCTTTGTCTGCTGGTCTCCCCAAGAACATACTCATTTGATTTGGTTTCCGGCTCTTCTGTAAGTGACCAGATTTAGGACAGGATGTCTGGGGACAGGCTGATCTCTGTGCAAGTTTAAAGCACCAGGCTTCATCACAGTCCGTACCGCTGCCTCTAGCTCTAGTTTCCCTAAAAAGCTGGAGTGAACTCTCCTTGTTTTGTCTGTTTTTTTTAACTTCTCTTTTATCATGTGTGCAAGTTCCAGCACTCTCAGATGACAGAATCTCTTAGATGGCAGGAATCCTGTTCCTGGATGGGAGTCCCCTGTGCAGCCTAGCCTACAGTTTGTGAGCTCACCAGCCTTCCCCTGCAGACCTCCCGAAAGGGATGGAGGGAGGTCCTGGAGGCAGCGTCAGTCCCTTCTGGGGCAGCTTCAGGTGCTGAATGGAGAGAGAGCCAGTCCTGGAGTCAGAAAGACTCTACTTCATGTCCTGTCTCTGACTCAGGCTGGGGCATCGTAGGCAACCACTTAACCCTCAGTATTGCTGGGCAGCTCCTTAGGACCGGAAGGCTCAGGACCGCTACTGACTGCTGCATTAGTAGAGGAAATCTCCTAATCCAATGTATTTTAAATTGAAAAGCAAAAAAGAAAAAAAACCCACTGTGCGCTGAATAACAAGAAGAAAATCAAGCTATTCTAGATGGACCTTTCTCTAGTGAGCAGCCAAGAATCAAAAGGAGGATATATTTGTGGGCTCTGATCGTCAATATAAAATAACAATGATGATATTTATGTAGAGCTTTCAGGTTTGCAGAGTGCTTTACAATTCAGGATCTGATCCTTTGCAAATTCAGTTTTATCAGCCTACTCAGCTTATTTGATTCACTAACCAAAGTAACAAGACATTGTTTTATCAGCCAGAATGAGAACTCTTTAAAAAGGGAGAGCCATTTAACCGGAGATCTACTTGGGGAGTCAGTACTCTCGACAAGGAAATCAGATGTTTCAGTCCACAAAAAAAGAAAAAAAAATCCATTTGACTAAGGGCATTGACTCTTAGTGCAGCAGAAAGACCAGTGAGCTTAAACCAGGCGATCTGCCTGGGTTCAAAGCCTAGTTCTGACAGACCTTTCACGCCTCCAGAAGCATGAAAGCTAGTTAGTGCGAATGCTTGACCTGGAAAGCTGCCAGGTGGCGTGTTTCCGTCCCATCCTTCCTCCCCTCCCTCCCCACCAGGGGCCACACACCTGGTGAGCTTTTCCTCACCATTTTATTGCTCCCACGGATGGCCTCCTCAGCTTAGCTTCCACGTGTCCTGAGTGTCCATCCTCCCTCTCCCCTAATCCTCTGCAGGGTTAGGGTCCGTGTTGCTGCTGCCACAAGGGTTTGAAAGTACATTTGGGATTGCTTTTTCACTTGTAATGGCCTTTCCATGTACATCTCTAAAAGCGGCCAGCTGGAGTACAAGCGGTATCCTGTTTCTCTTTGATACAGATAAATCCGATGCGATGAGACTCCAGGTTATGTTCGCAGACTTATGTTACGGCAAAACCTAGGTGCTCCAGTGTCGCTGGCCCCTGAGAAATTTCCAGGAATTAGCCCCCAGAGAACTTCAGCTATTCCTGCTGTGTTGGGTTTTAGCCATTCCCCCACGGAAGCCTTCCTCCTTGTAACCCTGGTTCTCAAAGCCCGTGCCAGACGTCGGTGGTTCCTGCCAAGCCGGGAAGGCTTTGAGTTTGGGCCTGCCTGTGATGGGCAGCAGGTCCAAGAGCAGCCTTGCTAGTTTAAAGTGCTCATCCCTAGGTTTGCCATCAGGGGACAGAATTTTTTTTTTTCTTCAGCCTTAGCATCTCATAAATTGGTTTATTAAACACTGCCTAAGTGCAGCTGTTGTAGGTGAACTCGAGGCGTAGAGGTGGGCAGTGTTATCTCAATCACTGTGTACGAGAGACTTTGGTCGTTTCCTCCTGCTTTCTGCTGCCTGAAAATGCTGCCAGATGTTTAGTTAACCCCATGACCAGATAAAGGTTTAAATCAGGCTGGTTCCTTTTGGCTGAGTGTAGCGGAGGCGGGGGAGGGGAAGAGCAAAAAAAGACTGGGAAATCTCGTTTGACCCATTTCAGAAGATCCAGACCTTTAAAGATCGTTCTGGCCTTGGACAAAACAGTGTGCTGGGCTAATGGCCTGATTTTATTAACTAGATCTTATCCCTTACCTGTGAGATAAGGACTGGCAGTCCCCCTCTTCACAGGGAACTTTTCCTCCTCTCCACCGGCCGTCCCCTCCTCCACCCCCACCCCTCTTTGTTTCCCAGTTCATAACACCTGGGGAGTTCGTGACCCAGAGAATTACCTGCTCAGGGAAGTAGGGAGTGAACAAGTGACTGACGTCATGGAGTGTCTACTCTGCTCCCAACCTTGAAAATCCTGGCCCTTTCCCCTTCTGGCCCAGCTGTTGCTGGTCCTCCTGCCCTCTCAGGGTTTCAGAATTTCAGAGCTGGGAAGGTCCGTAGAGGTAGATGATCTCATTCAGGCCCCTCCTTTTTACAGCTGAGAAGCTGGAGACTTGCTCTAGGTCGGTGGCCGGGCTCTGACCAAACCTCTAGGTCTGTGTTCGTGCCCAGCCTCCTGATTGGGAATTCACTGAGAATCCCAAAGAACTTGGAATTTCCCTTAGAAACAAACTGGACTGACACTGTCCCCACCTAGACCCTCACCTGTCTGATTGATGCCATTCTGCCGTCTCACAAATGTGGATGCCCCTCCTGCCTCAGACCATGAGCCCTTTTCTCCACGGTCTCTCCAGGTGGTGGTCATATGGATTCTTGTTGCCTCCTGAGCACATGACTCCAGAATCCTTTATTCATCCCCAGCCTTTCCCCTGAGCTCCCATCCTAACTTTCCAGCTGATTTTGAGAATCTTTACTTGGACTTCCTGTTGGCATCTCGAACTCACCAGGTACAGACGCTTAACTTGGTGATTTGCCCTTCTCCCTGTCTTTTCTTTACACCTTCCCAAAAAGTCTTACACACTTGGAGTCATCTTTTTCTCCTGTCCCGTACACATCCGCCCAATTGCCAAATCCCATTTATGTTACCTCCCCTGGCCGTCCTCCCCTTCGCAGGCCTGCAAGCACCCTAGTCCAGGCCCTTATCCCTAACAGCCTCCCACCTTGTCTTTCTGCTTCCTCTTTCCAGTCCTTCTTTCACACTGCTGATTTAATTTTTCGCTGTGATCACATCAGTGGCTCCCCATTGCTGACCAAATAAAGCATTCTTCCATTCATGGTCCTGCAGGATCTATCACCACCCTCCGTTTCCAGCCTTATCTCATACTGCTCCCCTTCATGAGCTCTGTATTCCAGCCAAACTGGAGTTCTTTGGGTTCCCTATTCTCATCCCGCCTTCTATCTCTGTTCCTTTGTTCCTGTTATCTCCTGTGCCCTCATCTCTTTCTGCTGATGACCTTTCTTTCAATACCCAGCTCAGCTACCAGCTCCTCTTTGAAGCCTTCCCTGACCGAGGTGAGAGTTATTTCCATTTTTCATGGTGGATGTGGAAATGTGTTTTGCATGACGTCATATGTATAATGGGTATCATACTTCTTATCTTCTCAATAGGTGAGGGAGAGAGATAATGAAGAACTGAAAATAAAATTTTTTAAAAACTTATTTCCACCTTGACTTTTTCATTTTATGTGTCTAGACTTTCCTCTTCTCTCACATGCCCTTATATTGTGTGGACCTCCCTCCAATCTGTTCCAGTTATAATCTCCTCACAGAAGTCTGTGCTGCATGTGTCTTTTAGCCTCAGGACTTTGCCACAGAGACCATATTCTTTTTGCACTTTGGGGGATTTTTTTTTTTTTGATTCACCCAGATTTCAGTTTGTTGATCCTTCCCTTATGTGTTTATCTTACTCTCCCTGGTACTGCAGACCAAATTCTACTTGGTATTCTATTTGGTTGTTTGTGTATATCTGTTATTTCACTCTATGGGAAGCCCTTCCCTGACAGCACCATGTCTCATAGTCTTTGGACTGTGGACAGCTCCTGGCACAAGATTTTGTGTGTAATCAGGAAGAGCTTTAAAAGTGTTTGTTAAATTGCCTTAGGCTGGGGGTTGAGTTCGAGTTGAAGGGGGGAAAAGAGAGACTCCTCGATCTGGTGCTGGTGAACATGAAGGAGAAGCCATCTGGAATGGAGTTTTCAGGTTTTTGAAAGAGAGGAGAGTTCTGTTTCTTTGGCTTTTAGTTCTCAGGTCCCAGTTCGTCATAATCGGTGCCTTTTTTGGCTGACTCAGAAGAACCAGTCATTTTGAATGACTTGCATTTTTGCTTACAAAGATAAATAACAATAGAATAGGATTCTACTTAAAAGATTAAGTGATGAAAAAAATGGGTGAGAAATTCAAGGCTATAATTAATCTTCTAGGTTGTCAGGAAAGATGGTGTTCAACGTGCATAAGGATTAGTTCTTTCTTATTTTGTAGAAAAGCTGACCTGGGAGAACTGATGTCTTACAGTGGATTTTTGTTGCAGCCAGCCCTCCTCGCTTTGTGTCTGTGGATGAACTCATGGAGACTGTCAAAGGAGTTACTAATATGGCGTTGGCCCATGAGATTGTAGTGAATGGGGACTTCCAGATAAAGCCCACAGAGCTGCCAGAAGACAGGTAAAGAAGTTATGGGATCGTGGGTTTGGTGGTTGTTTTTTTAATCAAAGGCACTGAAGTTTTTTCCATTTCTATAGAGATCATTTATATTATATTTAATTATATTAAATATCATATTTATATATTATATATGCATATTATATTTATGTCCATTTGTAACATACATCAGTATTTTACTTTTCTTTTGCCTCTTTGGTTTTGTGTGTGTGAGAGAGATGATTTGCATTGTTCTTGTATTACTAAAACATTTCTAAATTAGATTTCATTGGAATTCGAAAGTGGTTCTGGGAAATAGCCCTTCCTTCTACGTACCCCTACACATGTATCCCACATGTGGCCTATCCTGGCTATATGACCATGAACCACTCAGTGTTTTCAATGGCTCTCTTAGACTATTAAGGCATAGAAAAATGGCTGAGCTACATTGATAAAGGGGACTTTTTCAACTGGGAATTGTCTATCCCAGTGAAATCACAGGTCCATTCTGTATGTCCATGTAGGATGTCAGTGTGTGTGTGTGTGTGTGTGTGTGTGTGTGTGTGTGTGTGTGTGTGTGTGAGAGAGAGAGAGAGAGAATGGGGGGGGAGAGAGAGAGAGAGAGAGATGGCTCAATTACTAATATAATTCATTATCCTTCTCTTTGTTCTTTAGGCAAAAACACTAATTAAGTGCCAGCTTGTGCCTTCATTAGAGAGATATTAGTTAATAAAGTAAAATGTATTTGAATTTCATAAGTATGTTTGAATTTCTCATATCTCGCATTTCTTTCCAAGGAGCCCACCCTTAGCCAGCTCCTTCCCATGCCAACACAGGGTTAATGAAGGCACAGAATATTAATTAAACAAATTAACATTTAACTTTTTGAGTGAAAATTTAAAAAGAAGAGTAAATCATGACTTACAAGTTAAGTGCCCTACTGCTGAAAGTCTTTGGACCTCAGGCTATTCTCGGCCCCACGGCTTGAGACAGTTTGTGCTCTGGGGCCCAGATCCCAGAATGGAGAATCAGAATGTCCCTACGGAACCTTATTGTGCCGGGCAGCTCTGTGCTGCTGTCTGGACCAGCAGCTATTGCCGAGCTGTTTGAAGGCTTGTCCTTCTCCAGAGGTGTTGTAGGCTTCAGTGCTTTGGGGGATATATGGCCTCCTCCTTGTTGGTGCTTCCTTCAGTGGTCTAGCCTGGGGCACAAGGCCCAAGGCCCACATGTGATCCACCACAGTCCTGAGTGCATCCCAATCCAAATTAAAATGTAGTTGAGAAGTATGTCACAATAAATAAAAACACCACAAAACACAGATAATATTATTACGTGGTTTTCTAAGTCAATATGCATCTAGCAGGCATCCTACTTTGGTTCTAATTGAGTTTGCCCTGCTGGCCTGGAGCACAGCTCATCACCTCCATCTTATCCTGGGGCATTCTTGACTATGCCCTCTGTCAAAGAGTCAACTGATTCCTGGAAGATTTCTTTTGGGTCTGGTGCAGTGCTTGGGCTGACCACCACCCTGGATACTTGGCTGGCTGGCCTCCTTTTTTGGATCTTGCATTTCCAAGGTAGTGTCATTGACACCACTTCTTATGTTCTGGTCATCATTGGTCATACTCTATACCTCATTTAAATTCACTTTGTTTCCTGCCATTTTTTTTGGATCACCTATAATAAAAATTCATCTATATTGCGATGTTCTATGATTTGCAATTAGATAGCATCCCGGGAAGAATATCATTCTTGAAAGATTCATTTTGTGTCCAGGAGCACTTGTGATCTTTGAAAGTGCTGAATAGTTTCCAAAGTACTATATAGCTATCCCTCTTCCCTTTATTCAATTCTGAGTGCAATGCATTGTCCATCTCCATTGTCTTTCCTAGATAGGTAAATAAATGAGGGAGTAACCCAATGGGTACCTCATCTAGCTGCCTATCCCAGGTAGCTTTTATCTATTTAGTTTTTTCCTGTGTAGATTGTTAGTATTTGCTGGCTTAAGTATTTATTGGCTGAGCAATTTCTGACCTCTTTTGGTCTCCTGGTGTCACTTGTTTTATGTGAGCTAAACTTTGTTAGGTTGGTCTCTTTTGAGTCATCATGGATCTCATCAAGGAGCCCTGGTACTCCTCTGTGGTTTGCAGTGCATAAAATCTCCCCCACAAATAGGAACATGTAGAAACCCCCTCCCCCATCTATAGAAATAGATTGTGAGAGGGCATCTCACATGGCGGTGGAGCTCACATCCATTGTCCTGTTTCAGGCCTTGCTCAGTGACCTTGCTCAGTGCAGGGCAGACACCTTGTTAGAGGGGATCTTATAAGGCAGAATTTTCCTCTAAATCTATGCACCTTTGAACCTAC